TTCTACCATTTGTTCCATCATGGTCACAGAGGATTGCACTGTACTACAGCCTTCTACCATTTGTCACTTCGTGGTCACAGAGGATCGTACTGTACTACAATCCTCTACCATTTGTTCCGTCATGGTCACAAAGGATTGCACTGTACTACAGCCTTCTACCATTTGCCACTTCGTGGATACAGAGGATTGTACTGTTCTACAGTCTTCTACCATTTGTTGCTTCATGGATTCAGAAAATTGTACTGTACTACAACCTTCTACCGTTTGTTCAATCGTGGATACAGAGGATCATACTGTACTACAACCCTCTACAATTTGCTCCTTCGTGGAAATAGACGATCGTACTGTACTACAACCTACTACCATTTGTTCAGTTGTGGATACTTTCCGTTATAGTATTTGAATATTTTAAATCTTTGGATACCATTTATATTGCTTACATTGTTGTAAATTGGTCGCCTTTCTTGTTTCATACACCACCCTGTGATCTTTGAGATACATCACTCAGTAGAGGGTGGGCCATAAATATTTCAACAAATAAATGGGGGTGAGTTTTTGAATAATACATCCACTCCAACAGATTTAAGCGAAACAGTTTGGGAATGTTTGTGAAACTAAAAAGTGAGACACTGCACTGCAAGCGAGGGGAACTCTTCGGGGGCGATAATTTAAGCGAGAGCAGGACTAAGAGTCCCTCGGGGAAGTCGGACGTGATGTGTCTCATAATTTAATGGAACATAAAGCAGCCCTGTAAAAGAATTATGCGTAATATTGCGTGGCTTTCAGTGGTGCTGGTAAAATGTGAATTTAATATTGGATACATTACTCCACTTTAGCATTTCTTCCTCGGATTTAAAGTAGTGTGCTGTGCTCTGGTGCTATTATTACTCTGATAAGCCCATGGAAGCTGATGTAGATGGAATGACGAATTTACTCCAAGTTTCAGTTCAAATTGGCGCTGAAGATTGTCCCCCAAATAGAATCATAGAATCAAAGAGTTGGAAGAGACCTCACGGGCCATCCAGTCCAACCCCCTGCCAAGAAGCAGGAATATTGCATTCAAAGCACCCCTGACAGATGGCCATCCAGCCTCTGCTTAAAAGCTTCCAAAGAAGGAGCCTCCACCACACTCTGGGGCAGAGAGTTCCACTGCTGAACAGCTCTCACAGTCAGGAAGTTCTTCCTCATGTTCAGATGGAATCTCCTCTCTTGTAGTTTGAAGCCATTGTTCCTGCGTCCTAGTCTCCAGGGAAGCAGAAAACAAGCTTGCTCCCTCCTCCCTGTGGCTTCCTCTCACATATTTATACATGGCTATTAGGGCTGGGCGGTTTCGTTTCGTTAATTCGTAATTCGTTAATAATTCGTTAATTTTTTCAATTACAAAACGATAACGAACCATTCTGGAGCAATTATTTAAAAAAAACGAATTTTCAAAAACGTTTTGTAAATGCTTCGTATTTCGATATTGTATTCGTTTCGTTATTGTTTTGAGGTCGTTTCGTTATTATTTCCGCATGTCTGGGCCAGTTTTATGGTTTAATTAGTGAAAAAAAAGTATAATATCACACCAACAGTCAACAACAGAGGGAGAGGGAAGCTTCAGAAGGTTTTGGAGGTTTTTTAGCGTATTTCGCGGTCGCGTCCGCCATTAACGAATCGATTCGTTATTGTTTCGGAAATCGATTCGTTAATTTTTTTACCATTTACGAAATTTCGTAAATATCGAACTTTTTAAAAGGAAAATTTTGTAATTATTTTAAATATCGAAACAAAAAAACCCCCCAAATACAAATCGATTTTAGAAACAATTTTTTCCGTTGTTACCCAGGCCTCATGGCTATCATATCTCCTCTCAGCCTTCTCTTCTTCAGCTAAACATGCCCAGCTCCTTAAGCCGCTCCTCATAGGGCTTGTTCTCCAGACCCTTGATCATTTTAGTTGCCCTCCTCTGGACACATTCCAGCTTGTCAATATCTCTCTTGAATTGTGGTGCCCAGAATTGGACACAGTATTCCAGGTGTGGTCTAACCAAAGCGGAATAGAGGGGTAGCATGACTTCCCTAGATCTAGACACTATGCTCCTATTGATGCAGGCCAAAATCCCATTGGCTTTTTTTGCCGCCACATCACATTGTTGGCTCATGTTTAACTTGTCCACGAGGACTCCAAGATCTTTTTCACACTTCCTGCTCTCGAGCCAGGCATTGTCCCCCATTCTGTATCTTTGCATTTCGTTTTTCTGCCAAAGTGGAGTATCTTGCATTTGTCCCTGTTGAACTTCATTTTGTTAGTTTTGGCCCATCTCTCTAATCTGTCAAGATCATTTTGAATCCTGCTCCTGTCCTCTGGAGTATTGGCTATCCCTCCCAATTTGGTGTTGTCTGCAAACTTGATGATCCTGCCTTCTAACCCTTCATCTAAGTCATTAATAAAGATGTTGAACAGGACCGGGCCCAGGACGGAACCCTGCGGCACTCCGCTCGTCAGTTCTTTCCAGGATGAAGAGGAAGCATTGGGGAGAATCACCTCTGGGTTCGTCCATTTAACCAATTACAGATCCACCTCACCGTAGTTTTGACTAGCCCACATTGGACTAGTTTCCTTGCCAGAAGGTCATGGGGGACCTTGTCGAAGAAGGCCTTACTGAAATCCAGGTACGCTACATCCACGGCATTCCCCGCATCTACCCAGCTTGTAACTCTATCGAAAAAAGAGATCAGATTAGTCTGGCATGACTTGTTTTTGATAAATCCATGTTGACTATTAGCGATGACCACATTTGTTTCTAAGTGTTTGCAGACCACTTCCTTAACAATCTTTTCCAGAATCTTACCTGGTATCGACGTGAGGCTGACCGGACGGTAATTGTTTGGGTCATCCTTTTTTCCCTTCTTGAAGATTGGGACCACATTGGCCCTCCTCCAATCTGCTGGAACTTCTCCCGTTCTCCAAGAACTCTCAAAGATGATTGCCAATGGTTCCGAAATGACTTCCGCTAGTTCCTTCAGTACTCTTGGGTGTAGTTGATCTGGCCCTGGGGACTTGAACTCATTTAGAGCGGCTAGGTATTCCTGGATGACTTGTTTCCCAATTTGGAGTTGAATGTCCTCTAATCCCTCATCCATTCCATCTTGCTGAGGTTGAAGATGACTTTCTTTTTGTGAGAAGTCCGAGGCAAAGAAGGTATTAAATATTTCTGCCTTTTCCCTATCCCCTGTCAGCATTGCCCCATCTTCTCCTCGATGAGGCCCTATCGCCTCCTTGTTTTTCCTTTTTCTACTGACATAAGAAAAGAACCCTTTTTATTGTTTTTAATGTCCCTGGCAAGCCTGAGCTTGTTTTGTGCTTTAGCCTTGCGGACCTTTTCCCTGGAGGTGTTGGCTATTTGTTTGAATTCTTCTTTGGTTATTACTCCCTTTTTCCACTTCTTGTGCATGTCTCTTTTGTTCAAAGAAAATATTTCTGCAAAGAAAAGTTAAGTGGTTCAAATTCGGATTTCCCCATCACCTTTCCTGCATGATTAAAAACTGCATCGGAAGTCCGGATTCGTATGTTTTCTTCCGACTTTCAGGCTTTTCCGAACAAACCTATCCAACCCTAGTAATGGCACTCCATGCATGCCACATGACATTGGAGGCATCTATGGACAATGCTAACTCTTCAGCTTAGAAATGGAGATGAGAACCACCCCCCAGAGTCAGACACCACTAGACTTAATGTCAGAGGAAACCTTTACCTTTCCCCCAAACATTTTTCCAATAATAAAAAAATCATTCGTATTGTGTCTTATTATAACCAATGTAATACACATGTATTATTTCTGGTATACTGCTGTTATGACAGTTTCACTCCTGAATAGCAGGAACAATGCCTTCTGATCTTCTTAAAAAGCAATTAATAACAACGTTCCTTGACCTCGTATGTGTCAGAGGCAATTAGCCCCAAAGTGAAAGGCAGCAACATATTCATGGACCATGAGCTCTAGCACAAAATAATTGCTGGAAAGAGTTGCATTATGCATCAGATGCTGGATGGAGAACGCCCATGGCTTGAAACCATGCATCGCTTTACGTGCCACAACTGGACTTCACACAGACTTGAAGAGGTGAAACTATAGATGAAAGCCATTGTTTTGTTCTTGATGTACACAATTCATTAAAAGAAATGCTTTGTTCACTGTAGAGATCAAAGCACAATGCAGAAGATTACACACAATATAAAAACTCCTTTGTTGCTAAGCTAATAAAACATGGATGTCCCACCCACCCGCAATGCTCGTCTGCAGAGCTTCTAACTCTGATCTTAAAGTTTTATGAATTCTAAGGCATCTGAACAGAATTTAAATAGAAACTGGGAAAGTAAATTATTCCCTCCATGGCAATGATCGGGGCCATACTGCTGAGGGAGATCATGTGCTTTGCATCCAGAATGTCTTGAGTTCAGTTCCCAGCAACTGTATATGAACCAATTCTACTTGAAATGCTAGGAAGCTGTGGCCACACTGTACAATAAAAGCAGTATGATATATCTTAAACTACCATAGCACCATCCTATGCTGCAAAAACAATGCTCTTCTGATTGTCCATATCTTTCTTAAATTGTGCAAGGTAAGGCCTGACCAGCACTAAATGTATGTGTAGATGCCTTCAAAAGTCAACTATTGACAATCATAAGATTTTCTTAGACTACTTAGGGTTACCATAAGTTGGAAAGGATTTGAAGGCACTCAGTAAGTCCTAATATCAAAGCCCAGAAGGAACATACCCAACTCCTTCAACTGTTCATCATTATGTGTAGATGCCTTCAAAAGTCAACTGTTGACATTCGTAGGGTTTTCTTGGGCAGTGAAAGCAGTATGGTATGTCTTAAACTATCAATGCTCGTCTTATCCAGCCTTGGCAAGAAAACTTCATGATAGTGTCTCCTTAGGGTTACCATAAGTTGGAAAGGATTTGAAGGCACTCAACAAGTCCTAATATCAAAGACCAGAAGGAACATACCCTTCAACTGTTCGTCACTGAACTTGATATTTAGATCTTTCATAATGTTGGTCACCCCTCTTTGGACACGTTCCAGATTGTCCATATCTTTCTTAAATTGTGATGCACGGAACTGGACACAAGATTACAGGTAAGGCCCGACCAGCACTAAATGTATGTGTAGATGCCTTCAAAAGTCAACTGTTGACATTCGTAGGGTTTTCTTGGGCAGTGAAAGCTGTATGAGATGTCTTAAACTACCATAGCACCATCTTATGCTGCAAAACCAATGCTCCTCTGACCCAGCCTTGGAAAGAAAACTTCATGAAAGTGTCTCCTTAGGGTTACTGTAAGTTAAAAAGGATTTGAAGGCACTCAACAAGTCATAATATCAAAGACCAGAAGGAACATACCCTTCAACTGTTCATCACTGAACTTGATATTTAGATCTTTGATAATGTTGGTCACCCCTCTTTGGACACGTTCCAGATTGTCCATATCTTTCTTAAATTGTGATGCACGGAACTGGACACAAGATTACAGGTAAGGCCTGACCAGTGCTAAATGTATGTGTAGATGCCTTCAAAAGTCAACTGTTGACATTTGTAGGGTTTTCTTGGGCAGTGAAAGCAGTATGATATGTCTTAAACTACCATAGCACCATCCTATGCTGCAAAAATAATGATCCTCTGACCCAACCTTGGCAAGAAAACTTCATGAGAGTGTCTCTTTAGGGTTACCGTAAATTGGAAAGGATTTGAAGGCACTCAACAAGTCGTAATATCAAAGACCACAAGGAACATACCCAACTCCTTCAACTGTTCGTCATTGAACTTGATGTTTAGCTCTTTTATAATGTTGGTCACCCTCCTTTGAACATGTTCCAGATTGTCCATATCTTTCTTAAATTGTAATGCACGGAACTGGGCACAAGATTTCAGGCAAGGCCCAACCAACGCTAAATCTTAGAATCATAGAATCATTGAAAGAGACCTCGTGGGCCACCCAATCCAACCCTATTCTGTCAAGAAGCAGGAAATTTGCATTCAAAGCACCCCCGACAGATGGCCATCCAGCCTCTGTTTCAAAGCCTCCAAAGAAGGAGCCTCCACCTCACACTGGGACAGAGAGAGAGTTCCACTGCTGAACAGCAATCCTAAAAGTTAGGAAGTTCTTCCTCATGTTCAGGTGGAATCTCCTTGTAGTTTGAAGCCATTGTTCCGCGTCCTAGTCTCCAGAGCAGCAGAAAACAAGCTTGCTTCCTCCTCCCTATGACCTCCTCTCATCTTGATCCATGGCCCCCATCATATCTCCTCACCGCCTTCTCTTCTGTAGGCTAAACATGCCCAGCTCTTCCTTCCTTCCCTCTTTCCTCCCTCCTTCCTTCCCTCTCTCTCTGTTCCTTCTTCCTTCCCTTGCGTCTTTCCTTCCGTCTCTCTTTCCTACCTCTCTTTCTGTTCTTACCTACCTCTTTCTCCCTCCCTCCTTCCTTCTCTTCCACCCTTTCATCCTTCCCTCTTACCTCATAGAATCAAAGAGTTGGAAGAGACCTCATGGGCCATCCAGTCCAACCCCCTTCTGCCAAGAAGCAGGAATATTGCATTCAAATCACCCCTGACAGATGGCCATCCAGCCTCTGTTTAAAAGCTTCCAAAGAAGGAGCCTCCACCACACTCCGGGGCAGAGAGTTCCACTGCTGAACGGCTCTCACAGTCAGGAAGTTCTTCCTCATGTTCAGATGGAATCTCCTCTCTTGTAGTTTGAAGCCATTGTTTGAATCTGCCTCCTTCACTCTTTCTCCTTCCTTCCTTCCTTCCTTCCTTCCTTCCTTCCTTCCTTCCTTCCTTTTTTCCTTCCCTTTTTTCTTCTTGTCCTTCCTTCCTTCCCTTTGTCTTTCCTTCCTTTCTCTTTCCTCCTCCCTCCTCTCCTTCCCTTCCCTTTTTCTTCTCTTCCTCTTTCCTCCCTTCCTTTTCTCTTTTCCTTCCTCCTTTCCTCCTGGGGATGTTTAGCTGGAAGAAGAGAAGGTAGAGAGGGAACATGAGAACCATGTTTCAAGATTTCAAAGGGTGTCCCATTGAGAAGGAGGAAGGGGGAGAAACTGACTTTCTGCCTCTCTAGGGACCAGGGCACAAGGGAGCAATGGGTTCAAATGGCAGGGAAAGAGATTCAACTGAAAAGATTAGGAAGAATGTCCTGAGAGTCAGAGCTGTCCGAGAGTGGTTGAGGCTGCCTTGGAGTGTGGTGGAGTCTCCTTCTCTGGAGGCTTTTCCACAGAGGCTGTGTATTGGGAGTGCTTTGATTGTGCATTCTTGCATGGGAAAGGGTTGGACTGGATGGCCCTTGGGGGTCTCTTCCAACTTATTTATTTATTTATTATTTCCGGTATTTCTATCCCGTTCCTTCTCAACCCGCGAAGGGGGTCTCAGGACGGCTTACATTTGGCAGCAATTTGATGCCACTACATATAACACAGCAATATAATAACAATTAAAACAAGAAGTAAAACAGTCATTAAAACAGTAAAAACAGTATTAATAGAGGTAACATCATTCCAGTCAATTCCATATCCAATTCCATGTCTAAAGTGCTATCTATGTCTGTTGTTCAAAAGCTTGGTTCCAGAACCACGACTTCAATTTCTTCCTAAATGACAGGTGGGATGGAGCTGAGCTTAACTCGGTGGGAAGTGAGTTCCACAGGCGGGGGGCCACGAGAAGGCCCTGTCTCTCATCCCCACCAGACGTATTTGTGATGCTGGTGGGAGCGAGAGCAGGGCCTCCCTGGATGATCTTAAACTGTGAGGCGGGACATAGAGGGAGATGCGTTTGGACAAGTAAGCTGGGCCAGAACTGTATAGGGCTTTACCGGTCAAAACCAGCACTTTGAATTGAGCTCGGAAGTGGACCGGCAGCCAGTGGAGCTGGCACAACAAGGGGGTGGTATACTCCCTGCATGTCACTCCAGTTAGCAATCTGGCTGCCGCCCGTTGGACTAGTTGTAATTTCCGAACAGTCTTCAAAGGCAGCCCCACGTAGAGTGCATTGCAGTAATCTATTCTGGATGTAACCAGAGCGTGGACTACTGTGGCCAGATCAGACGTCCCAAGGTATGGGCGCAGCTGGCACACAAGCTTTAACTGTGCAAAAGCTCCCCTGGCCACCACCGAAACCTGGGGTTCCAGGTTCAGCGATGAATCCAGGATCACTCCCAGGGGGAGTGTGACCCCATCCTGAAGTCAATAGGAATTTTAGGAGGGTCTTCCCCAGGAGGAGGGACCCTGAGACCCCACCAAAGAGGGATCGCTACTTTGGCAAGCTAGGAGAAACCTGATTTCAGCAATTTTTATTTCTTAAAAAATTCAAAAGAAATCTCACCAAAGTTGAGGTGAGGTGTTTTATTAGCGATTCAGCTGAAAAGGTGTTTTATTAGCAATTCAGCTGAAAAGGATGCAATGTAGCAATCATTCGCCTACAGAGCATGTGGTTACAGAGATCAGAGGCATTTTTATAGGAAAAACAGGCTCAGAAGTTTCAAAATTCCCGCCCTCTGCCCTCCGCCCGGCTCGAAGGTGATTGGCTGACGTGATAACAGCTGGGAGGAGGCTTGGCCACCCGCCCTGCGCCAGAGCCAATCACAGAGCTCCTCTGCTGTGCTGGAGCCAATCGGAAAACTCATACCGCCTCAGCGCTCTGGCGAATCAGGAGAGGGGAGCTGGGACGAAGAAGAAACAATGTGCTGATGAGAGGATTATAGGATTCCATGCCTTGGAGGTCTTGAGTCCGAGAAATCCGGCCTGCAAAAGATGCCCAGTCTATTGTCTTTTGATGGGTCTGTTGATTGCTTTATCCGGGCTTTCCTGTCGCCATCAGATATGACACAATGAAGAGACTGGTTTGAATGTCCGTTGTGGCAAGTTTTGAAAGAAAAAAACAGTTTCAGGGGAAGGACGGTTCGAAGGTCCTTTGTCCCCGATGGGAAGTGATCAAAAGTTTGCCAAGCGAACCTCTTTGTTTGGTGGCCCAACTCCGAGACCAAACAAAAGGCTCTTAATTTTATGGTTCCATGCACAAGTATCAAGATAAGGATTCTTTTGTGATCGCTGATTGCCTTCTCAGAACAGCTGATAGCTTCTTGGTTATTTTTCCTCGAAGGGAGGGGGAAAGGGGCAGTGGTCTTGGAGTCAGGGCAAAATGAGAAAAAATACACGAGGAAATATAGGAATCACAAGAAATTCATATCAAGCATCCCCTCCCTCCCCCCACCCGCCAGAGAAATTGATTAAAATAATAATTTTAATAAAACATGTGTCCATGGTTCATACTGGGGAAGTTCAGATGTGAAAATGAGTTCATTAGAGCCAAAAATTATGTGTAGAAAGTTCAACAGTCACAAAAGGAGCTTGGTGATTTCCATTGAGCCAAGGAATGGATTCCTGCAGCTCCAAGATCAAGCTGGTCCTTGGTCCTTGGGAAACTATAACTCCTTCCAAGGACTGGGACCCCAAGGCCAGGCTCTTCCCTGAAAGCCTCATGGGGTCCTTGTTGTTGTTAGTGTCTTGGCAAATTGACCAAGACTTAACCCCTATTGTACAGTCTGGTACCCTTGCCCTTTACAGAACTATAAGTTACCATCCCTTATATGGGGGGGACGGGACATGCTCGACTTCAATCCAACACAGGATTCTATATCATGAATAGGCAATAAGGGTCTCATGGATACACTTCTTCTCTCCCTTCCACCATCTCATCTTGACCAAGGCCAACCCTTTAGGGATTTAAACCTTTCCCCATCTTTCCTTCACTTTCTGCCTCCAAAAGAGAAGGGGAGGAAAGGGCAGGGAGGGGCTTGGGGAGAAACCCCTCCCCCCCCACTCCGTCCTGCCATGTGGCCCCCAAGTTAGAATGTTTGCCCATGCCTGGCCTAGTCTGTCCATGACTTTCCCTTCCTTCCTTCCTTCCTTCCTTCCTTCCTTCCTTCCTTCCTTCCTTCCTTCCTTGCCCCTTTTTTCGTGTATCACTGTTGAGTCATGTTTAGCTTGTCGTCTATTCATATATTAAGCCGGAATTTCGTATTTGGTGATTCATCCTCAATGGCTTATTCATACCTACATGTCACTCGTTGATTCTTCCATTAAATGAACAAAGAGCATTAATTGGAATACTTTTTGGAAAGCATTAGAATGGCTCGAGCGGAAAGACCCTAAGGAGCGCCTCTGTAAATTTATCTGCAAATCACAGCCTCTTTCAATTACCTCTGCCCACTTATGATTATAAAGGTAGTGCATTTTTTATCACATTCCAATAACAGCGAGCGGCCCATGCGAGTGGAGTATTGATGGGGAAAGAGTGGAAGGATTCATCAACAACATATCCGTCTCTATTTCCCAGTCCGTGCCTGTTAATATTTCCTATTAAACTTGTGAATCAATTCATTGTGTGGGAAATAGATCCTCGGGGAAGAGAGGGAGTCTTTTAGAGTGAGAAATTATCTCCACGTGTACTTAAACAACTACGTCTCTTAATGGAGAAAAGCACTGACAATACTCAAATGGATATCTCCGTCCATCATTTAAATGGAATTTTAATTGTGTTCCATATCTGGAATTACAAAATACAGTAGAGTCCCACTTATCCAACCCTCGCTCATACAATATTCTGTATTATCCAGTGCAGTCTGCCTCCCACTCGGATTCACAGCTGTTTCAATGCATTGCAATGTATTGGTGCTTAATTCATAAATACAGTAATTACTAGGCTTGTTTGATTTAAAAAAAATGGTTCAAAACTCATTTCAGATGTGGGGGCGCTGGTGGTTCGATTCTAAAGACAATTCCGATTTTCACAGAAAAAAATGTTCAAAACTTTCTGAAACTTCCAAGACTTCAGAATCCTTTCATTAATGGTTTGAAAGTGTTATTTCCTGTTTCATTGAGTGGTCTTTACTTTGAAAATAGTTGTTTTACTCTAGAAGCAGGGAAAAGCAAGCAGAGAAAATTAAAACTGGCTTTTCCGGCTTTTAAACTGGCTTCTCTGGCTTTAGCTGAGGCCAGGAAATTCCTTCCTTCTCTGGTTTAAAACTGGTTTCTCTGGCTTTAAAACTGGCTTCTCTGGCTTGAGTCGAGGCCAGGAAATTCCTTCCTTCTCTAGTTTAAAACTGGCTTCTCTGGCTTTAAAACTGGCTTCTCTGGCTTGAGATGAGACCAGGAAATTCCTTCCTTCTCTGGTTTAAAACTGGCTTCTCTGGCTTTAAAACTGGCTTCTCTGGCTTGAGATGAGGCCAGGAAATTCCTTCCTTCTCTGGTTTAAAACTGGCTTCTCTGGCTTTAAAACTGGCTTCTCTGGCTTGAGTCGAGGCCAGGAAATTCCTTCCTTCTCTGGTTTAAAACTGGCTTCTCTGGTTTAAAACTGGCTTCTCTGGCTTGAGCCGAGGCCAGGAAATTCCTTCCTTCTCTGGTTTAAAACTGGCTTCTCTGGCTTGAGCCGAGGCCAGGAAATTCCTTCCTTCTCTGGTTTAAAACTGGCTTCTCTGGCTTGAGCTGAGGCCAGGAAATTTCTTCCTTCTCTGGTTTAAAACTGGCTTCTCTGGCTTGAGCTGATGCCAGGAAATGCCTTCCTTCTCTGGTTTAAACTGGCTTCTCTGGCTTTAAAACTGGCTTCTCTGGCTTGAGCCGAGGCCAGGAAATTCCTTCCTTCTCTGGTTTAAAACTGGCTTCTCTGGCTTTAAAACTGGCTTCTCTGGCTTGAGCTGAGGCCAGGAAATTCCTTCCTTCTCTGGTTTAAAACTGGCTTCTCTGGCTTGAGCCGAGGCCGGGAAATTCCTTCCTTCTCTGGTTTAAAACTGGCTTCTCTGGCTTGAGCCGAGGCCAGGAAATTCCTTCCTTCTCTGGTTTAAAACTGGCTTCTCTGGCTTGAGCTGAGGCCAGGAAATTCCTTCCTTCTCTGGTTTAAAACTGGCTTCTCTGGCTTGAGCTGAGGCCAGGAAATTCCCCCTTCTCTGGTTTAAAACTGGCTTCTCTGGTTTAAAACTGGCTTCCCTGGCTTTAAAACTGGCTTCTCTGGCTTGAGCCGAGGCCAGGAAATTCCTTCTTTTTCTGGTTTAAAACTGGCTTCTCTGGCTTGAGCTGAGGCCAGTAAATTCCCCCCTTCTCTGGTTTAAAACTGGCTTCTCTGGCTTGAGCCGAGGCCAGGAAATTCCTTCCTTCTCTGGTTTAAAACTGGCTTCTCTGGCTTGAGCTGAGGCCAGGAAATTCCTTCCTTCTCTGGTTTAAAAGTGGCTTCTCTGGCTTGAGCTGATGCCAGGAAATTCCTTCCTTCTCTGGTTTAAAATTGGCTTCTCTGGCTTGTGCTGAGGCCAGGAAATTCCCCCCTTCTCTGGTTTAAAACTGGCTTCTCTGGCTTGAGCTGAGGCCAGGGACTAGAAGGGAAGGAAAGATGAATCATTTCCGACTCACTTCATGAGTCGTAACAAAAATGGCGGAAAAAGCTTTGGAAGGGCAAAGGGACTTCTGGTTTTCTTAAAAACTTCAAAATCGCTCAAAAAGGTATTTTTTCCGACTTTATTCTGAATTACAAAGATTCCGACGGTACCTAACCATGCCTAGTAATTACTACATAACATTACCATGTATTGAACTGATTTTCTTGTTGATTTGTTGTAAAACATGATGTTTTGATGCTTAATTTGTGAAATCATAATGTAATTTGGCATTTAATAGGCTTTTCCTTCATCCCTTTTTATTATCCAACATTTTTGCTTATTGAACATATTGCCGGCCCGTTTATGTTGGATCAGCGAGACTCTACTGTACTCCAAAAAACAAAAAATGGTCCACACTGGGTGCTGAGATACTCACACTTTTGCTTTTTGATGTTTGAAGTACACGTTTGTTTCATGCACAACCCATTATGTATAAAACTTATCTTCAAGCTATGTCCATAAAGTGTCCATGAAATTAGGATGGATTTTGTGTGTAGACTTGGGTCCCATCTCCATGAGATCTCATATTGACAAAAGCTGGAATGCAACTCAACAGGTTCCTGGACTATCTTAACAGCATCCACCCAAAAATCCAATTCACCATGGAAAAAGAAAAGGAAGGAAGACTGTCTTTTCTAGATGTCCTAGTCATCCGCAAACCAGATCAACAATTGGGTCACACCGTCTACAGAAAACCCACACACACAGATAGATATCTACATAAAAACTCCAACCATCACCCAAGTCAAAAAAGAAGCACCATTAAAGCCTTGGCAGACCGTGCAAAAAGAATCTGCGAACCCCACCTCCTCCAAATGAACTGAACCACCTCAACTGGGCTCTCCAGGCCAATGGATACTCCACCTCAGACATCAGAAGAGCTGCAAGACCAAGAACAAGCCACGAGAGTAAAGAGGAAGATCCACCCAGAGGAAAAGTGTCCTTGCCATACATCAAGGGAACCACTGACCGCATAGGGAAGCTGATGAGGAAACACAACATACAAACAATCTACAAACCCACCAAGAAAATCCAACAAATGCTACGTTCAGCAAAGGACAAGAGGGATCCTCTCACCTCTGCAGGAGTCTACCATATACCATGCAGCTGTGGACAAGTCTACATAGGGACCACCAAACGCAGCGTTGCCCAAACACGAATCAAGGAACATGAAAGGTACTGCAGACTACTTCAACCAGAGAAGTCAGCCATAGCAGAGCACCTGATGAACCAGC